GTTATTCACGTAGCTGAAGTTGCGTACCTTAGTTCGATTTGGGGGTTTAGTGTAGACCAAGCCTTAGAGACATATGACACTTTTTCCAAAATCTGAAACTATCATATGAGGCTTCTGAAACGTTATAAAAATTCCACTTTGATACCCATGTTTATTTCTGCACACACTTCAAATTCTATACATATAAAACAAAGCAGAATGTGCATTATTTAACCCCTTCCATTATAACTTTTTTTTTCTAGCACAGAAATATAAACCTTAAGGCTCTAAGACACCGAGAAAGGACAAATAGAAGCAAGCATTAACTTGTAAAATGTAATCAAAACAACACTTTGAAAGGCTTTGTAAAAAATGCTACTGTTGATTCATGTTTGTAGCAAGTACTTAGGGCTAAACTCTGACCTTAGATAAGCACTAACTCCAACTGACCTTTATAGGGGCCACATATGCACATGAGGGCAGAAATCTTATCTGTCAGAAATCTAAAAATTAATTCCCCTATTTTCCCTTTGAATCATGTCCCAGACCTGCAAACACCCTCCACCCCTTTGCAGCCCACTATCCTTTTCTAAGAGGAATGGGTAGAAGTCTACCTGCTCTTAGTGCTGTTAAGACAAGACACAGGGATCATTATCAGAAGTTGCAAGGCACTCCAGCTCCTGATGGAAGACGGAACGTGAGACTGGAACTGAAAATTAAACCTGAGACTCCTGTATGGTAGTGCAGAAGAGTATCACTTAAGTTGAGAGGGACTTTACTTGACTTAACAGACACCCCTTTAAAACTAAGAATATTTATCAAAATGATGCGATGCAATGCAACTGCGTAGGTAATCTTCTGTAATATATCTTAAGTTTGAAACAGCTGAGTGAAATGGAAAGAGGAGCAATGCAGAAAGGAATATGATAAGGCCCATTATGTTTTTAATGTTCTTCTATTTGAGACAATAGCACAGTTCTCATTATTGGTGCAAGGTTAGGCCCACTATTTATATAAAGCAAACGCTGAATACATGGTTTACCAAAGCACAGTGATCTATTTCTTGATCTCTTTTCTGCATCTGCTCTATTGTACTTTCCCACTGTCTGATGAGCTCTTGCCTTTCATGGTGAACCCTGCGAAAATCTTCAGCTGCCTTATCCAGCTCTATCTGTAAAGAAGTGAAGCCCAATTAGCAATGGTTTCTCATTTTAAGAAGTACTTCAAATACGGAAAATAATCTTCATCTGCTTCATACACAAACCTGAGCACTTATGGTTTCTGTAAGCTCATTGTCAAGAATTTTGCGTTTCTGATTAGCTTCCATAGTCATCTTTTCTACCTGTTGGGTCAGCACCTGAAATGAAATGATTTAAGGACTAACATAGTTAATTAATTATAAATGAATACAAAGCTCTGCTACAGTTAAGTTGGGAGTTAATGAGACATCATCTATGTCATGTGTTTGAAATGCATAAAAAACTAAGGGCCCAATCTTGTAAACCTTTGCTCATGCAAGCAGCCCCTACTCATAGAAATAGTCCCTTTAACATCAATGGGACTATTTGGGTAAGCTATGGTATCTGAGTTGTCTGTTCATTCAATACAAATGGTAGTAAAATTAGCTTTAATTTGAACAGTGTGCAAAGAACACTTACTTTTTTCCTAAGTGATAAGCTACTTGAGAACCATCTATGAATTTTGAACTAGTTGCTTGATGAGTCTACTTTAGATTTAATATCAGTCTTTCATTTCTCTAATCAATTTTATTCAAATAGCCTTACTTTATCCTCACTGATATTAAGCAGTTCAGTTCTGGTTTAAACAGGAACATCTAAATTACTTGCACTCGTATTTTCAGAGGGTCATATGTCACAGATTTTTAGGATGAACTCCCTATTGAATTCAACATGAAGTTCTGTTTAAAATTTTATCCACAGTGACTATTGGCCATAATTAAATATTTATGTACTTTCAGGCTAAGCTTCAGCCTCATCCAGCAGAACAAACAAATTCTAAGAAGTATTAAATTGTGCATTTTAGCCCTTTATAAAAACAGTCACCTACATAACCTTTAAAAAAGAATTTAAATGAAGTTTTATTGGTGTGCTAAATGGAAAACAATCACAGATTAAAAGTGCTGTTGAACAAAATGTCTTGCCTCGCTCTCTGTCTCAGTCTACCTAATTTGATGACATGACAAAATCCTTAGCAGGGCCGGCTCCAGGCACCAGCTTGCCAAGCAGGTGCTTGGGGAGGCCGCTCCGGAGAGAGGCGGCACGTCCAACTATTCGGCGGCAATTCGGCAGACAGTCCCTCACTCCCGCTCGGAGCGAAGGACCTCCCGCCGAATTGCCGCCACAGATCGCGATCGCGGCTTTTTTTTTTTTTTTTTTTGCGCCGCTTGGGGCGGCAAAAACCCTGGAGCCGGCCCTGATCCTTAGATGCTAAAAATGGCCTTATTTTCCTGTTGAAAATATACATCTTACAATGAATTTTTTTTTAAAAAATGGTATATCTACATACTCTTAATTTCCCATCATCCTGTTGAGCATACTTCTGGATTGTGACTGCATCATTGTCTTTATGAGCTGATTCCTCTAACCAGGCCTCCAGAGCTTGCTGATCCCAGTTCATCTGGCATCTTAAGGCTTCCAGCTTCTGAGTGGCTTTGAATATATTATTCTAGAAAAGTTTGAGAGAAATTAAATTTTAAAAGTTATGTATTATCTTTCTAAACACAAAATCAAAACAGACAATGCAAGTGGATAAAGACATTTATCCTAGTCTTAGGCATTTAGTGGTGTCCGAAGACCAGACTGTTGAGTGGATGAGTCTTTTTCTCTGGCAAATGTCTTCAATTTGAATAATGCCAGTATATGGTCCTGGCATTAAAAAGAACCAAGACAATTAAATTTCCACAAATCTAAAAAAGCAAAATTGTCTTAAACTGAGGTGAGTGAACCTTTGGCACAAGATGCCCATTCTAGTATCTGGAGTTAATACACACCTGGTGAGAAACTGATCCAACTCATCATTTAATGCAGTTTACCCTCTTCCCTTTCCCTCCCCCCCCCCAACCCAGAGCCAAATTTGGATTCTCTTACTCCATGAGTGGTGCCAATTGACTGAGACGGGACTTCCCAATGTGAGAGGGAATGGCAGAATCTGGCCTTGTACAGCCAGGAGGAGGATCTGGCCATTTTGAGCACCATAGAGAGTCAACAAAGAGGAAGAAAGCCAACCTGAAGGAATAAAAGTTAGCCTAATGGCTTGAAAAAAAGAAAAGACATAGTAAGCGACTGGTCCTCCAGTTCTTACTAACACAAAACTCTTAACATGTTCCTGAGCAAGGGCTGAAGGACTGGGTCATAAATATTTGTGGGATGTCACAGGCATTAGTGCCCCATCAACAAGTACTATTGTTAAAATTGTTGTCTTATGACCTCATTTGTCTAAGGCAAAAACACTTCTCATTGCAAGAAGAATAGTGATAAACAGAATAGGTTACATATTACAATATTCGTGAACCTTACTTCTTGACTATTTTTCTTTTCTCTTAAGGAAACCATCTCATTTTCCAGCCGTTGAATCTCTTTTTTGAGTCGTCCAAGCTCTCTCTCAGCAAGGGCTTTAAAGTGCTCTTCGGTTTCAATTTCGTTCTCTCTGGCTCTGTAAAGAGACTATAGAATAATATAGTTCATTATTTTGCATGGAATCATTAACAGGCATTTAACACCCAATATTATTTTAATTATTTCAACAAAATCAGAACTCTACTAAAGGTAACACTGATATAAAACGATGAAATTTACATCTAGGGATTTTACAGAACTAAAATAAAAATGCGTATGGAGGCTTTTGAAATTCAGAGTCTGATTTTCACTGGTGTAAATTCAGAGCAACTCCACATACTGGTGTTTGGACTTAATATAAAAAAAAATCAATGACCTGTATCAAATGTTCTCAGATTAGCCTTCCCTATCTAGCTAAGTGATTCAAAAATATTTCATGCAAGATTCAGAATCCATTATTTCACTGTTCTATAGTTCAGAGCCAAACAACAGTACAGATAATCATATTCAAACTAGTCTCTCCATCATCATGTAGCTTTCTGTCTGAATCAGGAGGCAAAGCAGCAAAGAGTATTCTATTGTTTTGAGCTGAAATGGATTAGCTGACATAGATATTGCCACATGCCAGCTGGGTGCCTCTTTTTGTCTGGCAAAATTGCTTTAATATATTTTCCCCTATACAATACCCAATCTTTTACCTACTGGAAGTCCTTCTCTTACAGAAGGAGGAGCACATGGTGTTCTTCATCTCGATTGCTAATTAAAACTTGCATCTAGCACATTAAAACTAAGAGGTTGTTCAGCTGCAGGGAAGCCATCTATCAGCCTCTCAGTGCCCTTTCACATAGGTTGTATCAGTAGATTCATTATCTGAGTTTCTAATCAGACATCCATTTGAAATCATAGGCTGTGATTTAGTGATTGGGGGGGGGGTCTAGCCTGACACTCCTTAAAGGGGTTCATTTTCAGAAAGTTCTGAGCACCTGCCTGTGAAAATTGGGCCCCTTTAAAGTGTGTGAAGTTGGGTATCCAAAAACAGAGGCACCCTAAACCACTAATCATTTGAAAATTTGAGCCTTAACTCTTAAACTCTATGACTAGTTATGTGGCTAAGGCCTGAAGGGACCACCAGCTCATCTAGTCTAGTATATCACAAGCCACCAACACCACCTCGCGCCTGCACACTAAACCCAACAAATCAGGCTCCCTGCAAATCCGGGGGATTCTCCAGCAGTAGGGAATAGAAAATTAATTTTTGCCTCCTGAATGAGAAATAACCTTCACAGTGGATGACAAAGTGAAATCTCTGTGGAGACTCCATGAGGTTAGTCATATTTTTCATCATATGGAACTCTAAAGAACTGATATAGTCAAAATAAAGTTATGAAGCTGCTAAAAGCCTATCAGGAGGTCCCAGTAAAATATAGTCTGCATTTGGTGACTTTCAACAGATGCTCTTCAAATGCTTTAAGAAAGTGGTTAAATAGTACTCATTTTCACAGATGGGGAAATGAAGGCACTAAAGAGTAATGTCTTTCTCCAGATCACACAGCAAATTGGTGCCAGATTAGGGAACAAAGTCCAGAAATCTGATTTTGATCTGTCAAGGTAAATTTACAGTACAATTACATATCTCTGTCTGGCCCATGTCAGCTGAGCTCGGCTTGCAGAGCTTGGGCTGTGGCTCTGGAAAATTGCAATATAGACGCTCAGGCTGGAGTTAAGAGCTTTGGGATTCTGTGAGTGGGGAGGGTCCCAGAACTCGGGCTGGAACATCTACACTGCAATTTTACAGTTCTGCAGCCCGAGCCCAACTCAGCCCTCATACTGGTGTGAAACCAGTAACTCCATTGATTTGACTGGAGTTGTTCCTAATTTATAGTGGTTTAAGTGAGGTCAGAGGCAGGCCTCTGGTCTCCTGAGTCCCAGGCCCATGCTTTAAACAATAGAAAGTTACAGTATTTATTTATGCACCTTTTTAGAAAAACAACTTTTTTATATCATTAATGGTATCTCATACCAAGGTCTATGCTGGATCCCAATTTGGTCCGAGTCTAATTCAAGCTGTTAATATTGATCTAGAAAATCCTATAGGATTTGGGTTCTAGCTACTCAGAGACAGCCTCATTCCCTAACACGTGCGGTCACAACAGCTGAGATCCCTAGATTAGATGTATGAGGACATGCATTTATCTGAAAATTTGGGCCCATATGTCCTAGACATATGTCTCTCAGAGTGTAAAGCAGAGTTCTCTCTCCCCTTATAGTCTTGTTTCACTTTTCAAGTCCAAGAATTAAGTCTCCATTAGCATTTGGCAATTAACCATCTTCTAATCAATACAAACATTTTCCTTTTATAATTTTTTTTTTCCAGATTGAAACAGTTTTATTTTTTTCCTGGGCCAGACTTATCTATCTATTGCTTCTGTAAGTACCCATTGCCAAACTATCCTAAAATCTGTCCCTCCAGGCTTCATTACATGCACAATCATTATTGTTTGCATTATTTATTCATTTTTAATTACCATAAAATAATATTTCTGAGACATGCCTTCACTTGTTTCCAAGGCAAGTACTGGAAGATAAGGCTGGGAGGTCTCTCATCAGTAGTAAAATGTATTCAGACAAATAGATATGAGTACAAACTAGAGAAAAATATCAGACAGAATTCTAAACGGGATAAGGAGGATCTACTAGTTACAACAATTTACCTGTGTAAAGTTGAACTCCTGCCTGACGTTTTTCAAATGTGATGTCATTGCCTCAATACGCTCTTCAAAGTCAGTCAACTGATTTTTTAGGTTTGCCTTTTCCTTCTGCAACTTTTGCAGCTGTAAACAAACAAAATCTACTATATTCAATAAACTATCTTCAAATAGCAATATATACTATTTAACAAGCAATACTTGCCTGTTTAAATTATATAAACTACTGTATTTTCTGGCGTATAAGACTACTTTTTAACCCAGGAAAATCTTCTCAAAATCGGGGGTCATCTTATACGCCGGGTGTCGTC